GACAAACAATTCCGCAAGTAACAGATTTTAGCTGATAATACTAATTATTATTCTGCAACAGTTTCTCCATACAACCATTTGGACACATGATTCCATAAGTAATGAGACAGCATGGGAAGGCCATAATATTGATATCATGTCAAATGCAATGATTGAAACAAAAGAAAAGTCTAAGGATCTTGCAGTTTTTCATAGGCTCCAGTACCCTCTGTATTTCATGCCAGAAGCCTAAATTGATAAACTTATTTGAAACCATTGCTAAGTTTACTGATAGGATTATTATTGTTATTATTATTATTATTATTATTAACTTTTCTCTCAGTAAGAGAATTTTTAAACTTGTTTTGTAATATTTATACCTTAATTATGATCATCATTATGATTATTATAAGAAGTGTGTATCCATGAGCTTTTCTGGGATTTTTACTGGACATTTTGACGCATTTGTTTTCGATTTTTAAGCATTTTATCATAATTTTTGTAAATACTTTTAGTGATTATTATTATTATTATTATTATTATTATTATTATTATTATTATTATTATCATATTCCCTTATTGATATTTTTCTTTATTCTCATCACTTGTCTGCCTGATATTGTATTGGCAATGTGAGGAGAAACTCTATCTTGAGCTTTTACGTCTATCACATTCACAGCCGGGTCTTCTTTTATTGCCATTACATAACGTTTCAGATCTTAAGATCTTAAGATCCATTATGCAACCACGCTATCGTAAAATCGCCAAACAGTGACTTGCAATAGTTCGTTTTGTTTGTTCGTTTGTTTGGTTTTTTCTCTTTTTTTATTGTCCGATACACCTTATATCTGGAACAACTCAAACTGGTGCAAAACAAACATCAAATATCTACACTTGCCTGCCTGCATAATTTGTCGATTTTGCCGATATCTTTTAATTTATGGACATCTCTTTGGTAAAACCTGTGACAGTCAAACATCCGTGACGGAAAAAAATGATAACTTGATACCCGTGTCACTTAGGACCGGTTGTGACAAATACGTGACACGTCTATACGCATAGAGGCAAAGCACGCCACTTAAGAATGATCGGACTTTTCCATAGTCCATTATATCAGTTTAGCACGTAGTTTCCCTCTGTTCGCTTCAATTGCAAGCTGCTTCCTCTTTGAAATACTTGAAAGGATACCGACAAGGTGTATTCGAACAAATCAAAGTTGGGCGAGGCAAGAGCTGACCAGCGCCAGGTAGGTGAACAGGTTGGGTGTTGTAATTTATAGGCGGCTTTATCTATTGCTATGCACGAAGGTGATAGTTAAATAAACTCAGACATAATATAGACTACGAGCAGTCCTTCCTCTTCGGCGAAGACCGCCGCACGAGTCAAAGAAAAATAACTTGAAAGAAAAACATGCATGTCAATGTGGTGCGCTCAGTGCCTTTTTTTGATACACGCGACGGACTTCGCCGATAAAGATGGGCTGCTTAGTCCATCTCAAATAACATAATATATAAACATTTTTACACAGCTGATTTCACCCTTTCAATCGTTGCACTCTTTTTGTTTTGGAGGGGCGTTGGTGAATATTGGCGAATCAACCGTCCTCAACCCTATAAAAGCACTCGAGACAACAAAGGAAACGAAACGTGAATAAACTCTCTATTGATAAAACTGTCAGTTAAACGGATTTCAAAGACAAAAGGTTACAAACTGAAATATTCATGAAATCCTGTCCTCGATTTCTTGAAGGACTTGAAGAAGTGACATCATTTTTTTATTCCATATTTCGGTGAAGTAATCTCACACTGAGGTATCTCATTGAAAATGTGCTTTGTTCAGTTTCGGTGTGCGGTGAAACGAAATCATCTACCTAGTTGTGGTTTCTTGTTTGGTGTTAAATCAATGCTCGACGACCTTCTTCACTATTTTCTGAACTTAAGAGACGAGGAGGTTTCTTGATGACAAAAATTCCATCATATGCCAGAGAACACAATAAAAGGGTTGGGAACTCTTTTTAAAAAGCCTTAAAATATTCATAGTAATAAAAGAAACATGCGAGATGCAAGCAAAAACCTTTTAGAATAAGACCACAACTTTATTCCTAAGTATTATTTAATCATCGGACTGAGTGAAAGGACCGGATATTTGTCTCTAGTGCATGGAAAAACGTACCGAGTGCTTATGCATCGTCAACCTTACACACGATGATGCAATGGTATAGAAATTTTCTTCCCGGAACTACGGTTTACAAAACTTCTCAATGCCCCCATCTTTGAGTAAAGCTAAGATCGACTGTTATAAACCGCGGGTAAATCTATCACCGTGCCAAATGAATGGTATTCCGAAGCCATAAACCCTTAATACTGACTACCTGTGGTCCCCCGCTCCAAACTTGTGCTTTGTCACAATGTGGGTCAGATGATTCTAGAGCGTCTTTGACGCACCCTGTAGTGTTTTCGTACGCCAAGATATGGTAATCACCTTCGCTTTCATTGGTCGAGAAAAGAATATCACTAAAATGCAGATGATAAAAAATTGCAATAAACCAAGTAATTCGCCGACACAAACAACTACATGTTCAGCTACAGAAAATATCCCGGTTGTCCTAAAGCACTTTTCACGCTTACTGGAAAATGCAAGGGAAAAAAGGCTTATGACTGTTTATCATATAATCTAAATAATGGATAAGTTAAATTGTATAGCTTAGGAAGTGATCGTACTTTATCTTTTAAATGCGTATGAAAAGACCATAGAAAAGACTAACCTCTAGGGGGTTGCGCATGATAACAAGTTGAAATTCGATTAATATTTTTCAAGGATTCTGTCGCAAAGTGATTCCTCAGGAGTGATTCCTCAAAGTGATTCATTCCTCAAAGTGATTCCTCAATGCTCTGAACAGATTGAAGAACGTTCTCAGACTACTCAACGTTCGAAGCGTCAACTTTAGCAGCTCTTTAAGGTGGCTGATTTACATTATCAACTCATTCAAAATAAAAAAAAGGTGGCGCCTTAATTGAAATCTGCCATTTGCGCTAAAACGCATAATTTGTCAAAGACTAATTATGCGTTTGAAAGCTGATCAGCTCAGTCATTACCGCTCCTCTTTGCGTCGCACAATTCCCGCCTACTGTCTACTTCTAGGTGTTTAAACAAGTTTCCATACATCAGGTACGTATTTGCTCTCATCTTCAAATCAACTGGAGTCTAACCAATTAACAGGAAAGTCCATATCAGCTAGTTTTAGAGTCGAACACATGATCTACTGCGTATTTCAGTGCAGATTCGCTAAACTAACGTATCAATGGGTATAAATAGCAGATAATCAAAGGGATGAAATTATTTTAAAAGTTGTACATGCACACATTTTTTGTAGAAGACATACCATGTTTAGATTAAATGACCGATGAAAATGTTCAGCTTGTGTTGTTTGAGGAATTTGGTGGTTGAAGAAGTTAGCCGCATTTAATAGTAGCCGAATTCTAATCAACCCATTCAAACAATACAATAACAGACATTAAGGGTTATAGAATGATTTTCAGTGCGCTGCTAAGAAGTAAGGTAAACCAAAGTGGGTTAGAGGGAAAAGTAATACAGAGTCAATGAACTCAAGAGCGGAGCCCGGGAGCGAACAGCACTTAGCCAACTATTTTGGCGGCATGATGGCGGTTCGTTGTTGATTCAACCGTGCTAAAGTGATCATGAGTGTTTACCAAGGAACTAATATAGCTTAAATATTTGTGCAAGTCACACGACAGTGAAACGATTATTATTCGAGGAGCCATGGGAATTGTTACCAACTGATATGTCGAAGAAACTTTGATTTCTTTATTAGTTCAAGGCTCATATTCGATGGGAGCATTCTTGCATAAATCTTGGTCGAATACCTTTGATTCTTAAACCTAAGTGATACCTTTTTTAATCACGAATGCGAAGTACGATTTTGAATTGTACGTATGATGCACGATCCTGGCAGTAGAGAGCGCTATTTATGCAATAGCGAAAATCAGACCTGAAAAAAAAAAAATCAGGCCTGTACGGGATTCGAACCACTGACCTCTGCGATACTAGTGCAGCGCTCTACCAATTGAGCTAACAAGCCAATTGGGAGCAGTTGATTCAACTTAACGAGCTTAACAACTTAACGACCTGCTCCCAGTTGGCTTGTTAGCTCAGTTGGTAGAGCGCTGCACTAGTATCGCAGAGGTCAGTGGTTCGAATCCCGTACAGGCCTGATTTTTTTCAGGTCTGATTTTCGCTATTGCATAAATAGCGCTCTCTACTGCGAGGATCCGTGCATCATACGTATCTAATACCGAAGTTCAAAATATATGAACTTCATATATTCATTGTCTCTGATTTTGAATTGTGCAACTAACTTGCACTTCCTTTAATTTTGAAACTACCGAGTGCAATCTGACGAGGTATGGACAGTTCACACAAGCCTCTCTGTAGATCCAAAAGGCTTATATCTTGCCATGATATTGCACCCCCTTCTTGAAATACTTAATCCTTTAGATCAATTTTCGTAACCAGTGGAGGCGAAATCTATTGAGTCGTAATTCGTAAAGTTTATTCTTGCAGAATTTGCATATTTGCTAACAACACTAACCAGCCAACAGAAATTAAGACTGTACCTCTAACGGAATCAGGAAATCTTCTGTAACGAGTATTTTGAGTCGTGTTATGTGCAAAGGTGTCGAATAGATGCATTCTAAATCCATGTAAACCTCAGAGGTCGAAAAGTTTACTGAAGCGTGAAAAATGTTCCTACCAGCGATCCATATTTTGAGTACTCTCTCCCTTTTGGATCCATGTTATTAGCAGCAGTGCAAAATAGCTGGACAGCAATGATAGCCAAAGAAAAATAACATACTGTAACTAATGATTCCAAGGAGATTTGTTGCCAGTAACTTTACAGGTCATTGTGCGACCACCTTTTGTTATTAGAGCGGTTTTCAATTGAGTTTCGAAAATAATCCTGTTTTTGTTTTACTTTTGATTCAGAGTAATTGGTCCGGAAAACTCGCGCTCCTTTCTCAAAAAATTAGATAAAAGCAAACCCAGTACAACTTGATAAGTCACTCGAGTTTCCTTCAGCCGCAATGACAGTTTCCTTGTTTTTACTTTCAGTTACTTTATCATTTTGTGACATCTTTGTACTGATTCGCTCTTACGATTGTTTTCAGGTTTCTACTTTTTAAAGAAGAGCCACCACGAAATCATGGGTCTGACAATCGATGATTTTCTGGAAAAGATCGGCAGTTTTAGTAGATTTCAGTACAAACTTCTGTTTTTTTGCGGTTTTATGGAGCTATTTGGAGGTGGTCTTCAGATCATGATTCCAACCTTCCTCAGCGCTGAACCTCCATGGCGCTGCAAAGCAAACAGTTCTGCATGTAATCTGACCGGAATTTTCAAGCCAGGAGATGACAAGTACAGCTATCGTTGCTCCGTTCCACGAGATGATTGGGAGTTTGACACCACTGAATTTAATTCTGTTGTGAGCGAGGTAAGATTAACAACTTCGATAAACGCACTAACGGGTTTAGTCAAAGGTTGAACTGAGCTGGAAGTTACAGGAAAATATTTCGGCAACTTCTCACAATTCAGAAAATTCAGTACTTTGTCGCAGTTTTGTTCTAGCTGAGTCTCGTGTGTCTTTTCTATCTTTCAGACCAGGAAATACCTAAACACATAAGCCAAAGCTCAAGTATTACGAGCCCATGATCAACATGGGTTTTAGCCCAGAACACTATTTTTCAGCACTTGAGAGGAGATTGAAAGGTTCTTTTACAGCCATGTCCTTCAGTTTGAGGTGATAATTTTTTTGACTTGTTTTGTCTTTCAGTGGGACCTGGTCTGTGACATATCAGCACTTTCCGCATTGACCAAAGCTGTTATGTTCTTGGGCTATTTCATTGGAGTTGTTGCCGGTGGCGTGTTATCCGACAAATTCGGCCGCAAGCCTGTCATTTATTTCGTGTTCTGTGTGAATAACATTGCTGCCCTAGCTGCATCTTTCGCACAGGCCTATTGGGTTTACGTCCTTCTCAGAGTTACGGTCGGTTTTTGTATTGGTGAGTTGATCAGTATTTCTGAAATGTTTTGCAATTTTGGACAAACGTTAAAAACACTTTGAATCAGTTCGATTTTAAAGAAAATGCATTGTGGAAGACTGTAATATTTAGGCTACGCGATGATGGAGCATGAGTTGCTTCCTCTCGGCCCAGTTCTTATGGACGCTCTTTGTAGTCTTATCGCGACAAAAAAGTCTTATGGGACTAGACGCTGGTCTATATCCCGTTACGTCACTGCTCACGGTACGTTCTATGTCGATGACCCAGCCGAAATTCTTTGAAGCCACTTGTCTATTTTCACTCCAACAGACAGGGACTGGGGAAGAATGCATGAAGACCTCTCAATTTTTTAATTAGAAGTTTGTTTTATGAGCTATGGTTTTCAGTAGCTGATCAATGAATAATTTCCAACAGGTGTCGGAGGTTTGGGCTTGTATGTATTGGTGGTGGAGTACGTGGGAAAACGTCATCGACACGTGGTTGGAACTGCCCTGTTTTACTTCTGGGTACTGTCACTGCTGCTTGTAGCATTGTTAGCTTATCTGATAAGAGACTGGCGAACACTTTCAATTGTGGGAGCAGCTCCAGGCCTTTTGCATATTTTCTTCTGGTGGTGAGTAATGCATCATTTCTATGAAAAGCTGCGATAATCCGATTCTTTCATATTCGAATTTCAAATCAAGCAATGATCTTCGCAGGTGAGCTGCAACGTAAGCGATTGCAAAGAAGCCTGAAAAACATTCAGGCCTCGACGCGATTCCAACCCGTACCTCCATAATATATGTGAATTTATTTTTATGAAATACAAGACTGGTGGTAAGGACTTAATAGAAAAATCACAAAGGATAAAGTAGAAATTTATCAAAATATATAACTAACGATTACCTTCTGAAGAGATAAACAAAACAAAACAAAACAGAATAAACAAAAAACAAAACAAAACAGAACAAAAACAAAAAAACAAAACAAAAAAACAAAACAAAACAAAACAAAAAAACAGAAAAGCTTATGACCAAACTGTTTCGACCCCAGGTTTCTTCCAGAGTCCCCTCGCTGGCTCCTCGCAAATAACAAACCCGAAAAAGCTTTGATAGAACTTACAAAGGTGGCCAAGTTCAACAGACAAGAAATGCCCGCTGGAGACCTGGAAGAGAAAGAAGAGAAACAGAGACAGGGGGATTTCCGGGACCTCTTCAGTACAATGACGATGACTAAAAGAACCCTGATATCGTGGTTTGCTTGGTAAGTTTGCATATTGCTTTGACGGTGCGCCATTTCCGAATAAATCGTTGGCCTCTTTTTTCAAAACGAGGCCTGGTACTCAGCCATTTGCATGAAAATAAGTTTAATTCGCGCTTGAATGAAAATTGGTAATCAGTGATAGGATGAGCATCAGGATTTCCTTTAAAAACGATGCCAAAGGTAATTCGGAAATAGGCGATTCACAATGACCAATACATGTTTGCCTACTCTACTCTATTGGCTTTGGTTTCATTCCTTTTTAGGATGGTTATATCGTTGGTATATTACGCTGTTTCATTCAGTGCTGGAAATTACGGCGGAAATCGTTATCTGGTGTTCTTCTTGACAAGCCTGGTGGAATTTCCTTCCAACTGGACTTGTATTTTCCTTTGCCGCAAGTAAGTAAAGAGATTAGATCAAAATGGACTCTACCTCAACGTTTTTTCACAAATGAACTTCGTCGAACGCAAAATTTCAAAAAGACAAACACAGATGAACTAAAATAGATTTTTATATTTTGATACGATTTAATTTATAACATTACTGTACAGTGGTTTCGAAGTGGTTGTATCAGTGCTGTTTTAGCGAAGACACCCTGACACACTAGGCATTAATTTTTCATTCACCTGGGGGAGACCTGCGTTTTAGGAGTCTATTCTAACGCCTTGATGGGTAACAATGTCAGGGCTTTGATCCTTTTCAGTGTTTCTGACTGGATGTTCGCTCCAGGCGTTTAATAGGAGACCTATATACGGTTTCACTGGTGCATCTGACTAAGAAATGAGATTGAAACGTCAATTTAGAAACAGTGAAGTTTTAAATTGATTAACGTGAACCAAATCCAAATCTCTTCCAATAATTTCCTGGACAATAAAAAAAAAAAAGCTAGGTTACTTGAAAAATGACGTTGATGACCAGTCAAGACATTTTAAAAAAAGTCGAAGCCGAATTAAGTCAAACATGTAAGAAACTGCCTTTTTAGGTCATGAGTAGTTTATATGTGTACAGCGATTGCACACTGAACTGGGATTTGATTTAGGATTGGCCGCAAGAAAACCACTGTTCTTGGACTGATTGTGGCATTCTTAGCCTCAGTGGTTGCAGTTCTTTTCCAACGAGATTTGAAGAACAAAGGTATGTTACCTTTACTTTAGTTTTTTGATTACACTTCGTAACTGAAACTTGTAGGTCTTAATGCCTAACTGAACTTGGAAAGGGAACGAGAGAGAACCGCGAATGAATAACGCCCCTATTCATATCGGATTTTTCACCAACCGTGAAACCAACCGAGTTTGGAGCGATGTTCAGCTATCAGGTTTGAATTGACGCTAGGTGTACGTCAATAGCCAATTTCCGAATTACCTTCGGCCTTTTTACCAAAGCGAGTCCTGGTCCTCATCCTTTCAAATAATTCTAAGTTTTCATTCACATGCAAATTAAAATTATTTTTCTACGAATGGCTATGCGCCAGGCCTCGTTTTGAAAAAGAGGCCAAAGGTAATTCGGAAATAGCCTATTCTGGTTTAGCTGCGCAGAGACTAAAGTGTGAAATAGAGAAGGGATCTGCAGTATGCTTAGAGTGTCAAGTCTTAAAATAATGATGTTGATTTATCTCGTCATGATCACATGCGCAAGTATCAAGAAAGTATCGATCACAATAGGGTCATATTTTAGTTCTTAAAACTATCATTTTCAACTTGAAATGGTTCCGAGTGAAGAACCTTCCTTATAAAATTGGTTTTACTAAAGAGAGAATAAAATTTCATTATCATTGCTTTGTGGGCTAGTTTTAAATGAGAAGCTTGGGGCATCTTGGAAACGGCTCAGTCGAGACTATCGCAAGGCTGGAGTTTCGATGATGCAATGCCTCTAAGTAAAATAATAGAACTTAGTTTGTATACAATTATATACCTAGTCTTCTTCTTAAACCGTAGGTTTCATGGTGGCAAATATTGTCATGTCACAGGTGGTCGCCAAGTTTTTCATCAACATGTCCTTCAGCTCAATCTACGTTTATTCAAGCGAGCTCTTTCCGACTGTTATCAGGTATCCCTGTATCTACTGATTCATCAATTCAGTTTTAGAGTACTCAGTCCGTTCTCTTTTCCCCAACCTGATTGAAGGGCTAGGACGTCTTCACAAGTACAATTCTGTGCGCGGGTGTGACTGATAAATCAAATTCAAACGACTCAAGTAAGGTCTTCATAGACATATTGATGGACTGACTTACTGAAAGACAGGGAGACTTCTAGGCTAGCTAGCTGGCTGTATGGCTTACTGACTGGCTAGCTAGCTGGGGCTGACTAACTGACAGACTGGTTGATACTTTATTGATAAATCCTAACTACTAGTTAAGAACTCTTCTATCGGAAAGGTCACATGTCTTACAATAAATTTAATCATAACGTAAATTTGACGTATTTCAGGAGCTTAGGTGTAGGGACCTCATCTGCCGCAGCTCGGATTGGCTCTATGTCGGCACCATACATCAATTGGTTGGTATGTATCTCGTTTTATTCTTCTGTTCTTTCTGTTAGTGATTCTTGTCATATGAGAAAGAAAAAAAAAACACTGAATTATAACGTTCTTACTATCCGATGGTCGAAGGAAAACATCAGGGGCCCGGACGTGAGCCGCTTAGAAGCAAAGTGTGATCTCGACTTGAAAAAAGGTCCCTCTTTGTATGTGGCCTCCACTTGAGGTATGACTCTAGTTCTTGTTCCCAAGGTGTGCCGCGTATGGGTGTTCCACAACTGTAATCTAATAAAAAATCTAATCTAATCAAAAGGGCAAGCGAACGTATTCCACTCGCTGACATCAAGTGCCAGTTGAAATATTTGACTTTGTACTTCTTTGCCAACAGATAAGTGTTCACATCGTCTTGCCATACACCATTGTGGCAGCGCTCACTTTTATCTCGGCGGGTCTGTGCTTCCTACTTCCTGAAACAAGAGATTCTCCAACTCTTGAGAATATGGATTCCGTTAACAGCTCTTCCGCTGAGGAACCAACCAACGAAAAGCTTCCCCTTGAACCAAGCCAAGAGAAGGAAGGCATGGGAGAATTGCTACTTAATCAGAGCTACCCAGCCTAAATGATTTATACACGACTTATCAGTAGTTAAATAATTTAGTAGATGTTTCCAGGCATGACGCAATTCATCTTTTTAGTCATAATTTGAAATGGATTACAATCGTTTATCCTTTTTCGCTCTGACGAAGGGCTAACGGTCGAACCGTCATCCTTTTAACTCTTTACGGTGGCCAGTTTACAATTTCAACTTAGTTGATATTACCAAATTACCTTGTTACCCCCACCGACGCAACACCACAGTTTCTTTAGAAACTTACCCCCTTTGTCCTTATTTTATCCTTGTTTAATAATTTCAATCTCCCCCGATCGCATCTCATTAACACGGTAGTTTCTTTCACGTATTTGTAATGTCCGGGGGAGTGCAGATTATCTTATTGGCCACACCAAGTTTTTCTTTTCTGCCCCTTTAGTTTAAACAACTTAGTGTGGGTTGAAATTTGTACAAATGGGATCAGCGTCGAATAGGAATCATAAATAGAAATAGGAATACTTAACTAATTACGTTTAATGGCCATTGGGGGATCTAGGAGAGGGTACTCAAGGTTTACCAATGCGCAATGATTGCGCTTGGTTTTTCTTTCATTTCTTCCATGTAGTTGCTTGGTACACTTTGATTAATTCTGAAATAACTTTTAACCCCTAAGTGACTAGCATATAGTTTCTCCCTACGATATCTTCCCTGAGTCAAACATTAAGGTCATGAAAAGAAAGAGACTGATCACCAGCTAAAAAAGCTCTTGATTGTTAAAAAAATTCTTGTCAGCACCTTAGGAAACGTACATGGAACAGTATAAAGAATATGTGCATTGATGTAAGGGCTTAAGGAGTACCATTAAAGTCAACCAGCAAAAGAAACAATATTGTTATCGTGTTTATGCATAAATAAAGAAATACTCTCGTCAAGTAACGTACATCATGCAATATTTGGTAAGCGTAAAGTACCAATGTTTAATCAAGTAGCGGATTTAAAAGGTGTTCTTAACTTGCCTACGCACGAATAGAAATAAAGAATACCATCATATTCGGCCCCGCTTGCAGCTGCATTGAAAAACATTTTAGGAACATCACTCTGGAAGTGAAGCAACCGAGTGGGACAGGAACATAGAGAGCAGCAGTCACGTGACACAAGTCAAATTAACCAAATTAGGTCAGGTCGGTAAAGTGTGAGGCTTCTGGTCACGAGGAAAGGATTTAACTGTATTAGGCTCTCCCACTCAGTCAGTAATTAAAAATTATAATTTTCCACTGTTATTTACGTTGTGGGTGGATTATAACCATTTATTGGAACCAAAACCGAGAACAACACTTATGCATACACGTGAATGAGATCTATAATAACAACACCAACACCGTCACCACACACCTTCCTCTCCCCCCCCCCCACAATAGTGTCCTAACATTTAAGATAATGGGATGGGAAAATCAAGCTTTAAATTAAGGCTGTGTAGTGTTAGTGTATGGGGGTATCAGTTGTATTAAAATAATGTTTCAAAAGAGTATATCAGAGGTTGGAAGGGGTTACAAGTGCTGTTACAAATATCCATATCGTATGCAATTTTATTTCAAAAACATCTTTAATTTTCTATACAAAAACAAGCTCAACCTTCTATACAAAGATACTACATTTAACAGCCGAGAGTCCCGTAGGATCTCCACAAGACCGATTTCAGACGAAACCCTCTCAAAAGCGAATTGCTTCTGGTTGAATGTTTTAAGATGAAAAATAACGTTAAAGCGTTGATAGTTGTTCTAACTTTGACATACGATCACAACAGTTCCCCGGTAAACTTCCGTTAAAACGACAACAACAGCAACAACCAAATGAAATAATTTGGATATATCAACAAAGTTGAAATGGTAAATTGGCCACCGTAACGATTACAAAAGCTGACCTTTCGAGCTTTAGCCCTTCGTCGAAATCGTTTTGCGTTGAAAGAAACAAGCCTGGATTTGTGTCAGTCATTTACATCAAAAAAACGATAGGGTGATTTAAAAAACATTCTCCATTCAGCGGACGAAGTTGCTTTTCAGTTTACTTGATTATTTTTATTTCTTTTAAGGGCGTTGGAAGTAGGGTAGTCTAAGAACACATGTATGGAATTTTCGTCCAGTGGAAATTTTGTGATGAAAGTAAGCCACTGGCCTGGGTATGCAAGAGGACCCTCAATGACATCAAAGAATTTAAGGCCAGTTTGTGTCTTTCTTCCTTTAGAGGTCAGGATTTTAATCGTGTTAAATCATTACTGAGTTTTGCCTAAGCGGGGTCACATCAACCCCGAGGACCCTTTTCCTCTCTACGCCTTTAGGACAAAGCAAGAAAGAAGAGTTCTTACCCCATAAGGGCAGTGCACATTTTACGGAGAGTACAGGATCTTAGTTTACAACAGGGGTCATATATACCAGAACTTTCCATTTGGTATGCTGCACTACAAGCTTGCCAAAGGGTTAGCTGTACTGCACTTTTCATCTTCCTCAACTAAGCTGCACAAATATGTTAAGTTAAAGACTCATTTGAGGCAGCTTAAGCTGAACATCAACAGAATGATAACCGGATGCACAAATCCCAGCGTGAAGAGCCAGGATGTACATAGCTCATTTGACTGGATCACACACCATCATTCTGGGAGCAATACTCATGGACATAAGCTCTTGGAAAAGCAGCTTAGCCGCGTACGGCAAACGAATACGGGACACCTGAAAAGAAAAACGAGTTTGGATCTCTAGTCTCAATAAACGGCTGATCAATAACATACAGTTCAAGTTCCAGAGGTCAAGGTGGTTTACGCGGAATGTAATATCCTAGAATCTTTATGTCCTTTGAGCACAAGTGGATCCTCAAACAAAAGCACAACAAGTAAAAAAATGAAAGCGACGTTCTGATAACCTTAAGTGATACAGAGCTGAATAAGGTCCCTGAGTTAGCGGGGCTTCCCATAACGCATCTACAATGTTAGTTCAATTACCTGCGTCTTGTTTTTACAACCTCTACATTCAAAGGTGTTATTGCGCAGGTTCGCTATGGCGATCAATCCACACAGGTTACAAACGTGACAGCTGTATGGATCAGACACTTCAAACAGTCGCTCATTCAGGAACTGTGCGGCACCGTGTGCGATCATACAGTCACGTTCCATCTCACCGAAACGAAGACCACCATCACTGAAAAGCAAGCGATATGAAACTAATATTTTTTTACAACTGGAGAATGGAACACTCGGGGTTTTCATGGGGACAGGTGGGTATCTAGACGGACTGACAGTTTTTCAAAGAACTAAGAATTGCACAAGAGAAGCAGAGGATGGAGGAGGAAGGAAACGTGAAACCTTTTCTCCTAAACACAATTTGTTGGGACACTTGCTGCCTTCCCTGTCCCCCTCTAAGGATCATCTGCAAGCTTACAAGATTCCGAGGGTAATTCGTCAATTAACAATACTGAAATAGGGAAGCGAAGAAGTACATCACGAACACCGCTCTGCAAAAGTGTTGTACTAAGTGTGTCGGGGAAGGTTCTGCTCTCTATGTTAACCAAAATCAAAATTTTTCAGAGCTTTCTGCCTTTTTGTCCCTTTCATATCCTGACTTTGTTACAGGTATATTTCAGCTTTCCAATCCGACACGATGAACTCAAGTTTTATTCTTGACAAACTCAACGCCACTAACACAGATACGGTTCTTCTTCTCTTTATTCACCTTGATATACGCAAAGATTTAATATTTCGATTCCAGTTATCTACTACCGTTCGTAAACAAATATCAACATATAAAACATTGCAGATACCTTGAGCTCTCTTCCCACCCCCTGAGGTTGTACTTTGACTTACCGTGATCTTCCCTCCATAGGCTGTCGAGTAAGAATCTGGACCGGACCTCTGGCCCGAGAGTGGATCTTGTCGTCCACCATGTGCTTCAGACGCTGGTAGTATGTTGGACCCAAGAAAACTTGCGCGTTTAACTTCCGCCCAGTGAAGCCATTGTATAAGACCTACAACCAGCAATACAAGACAATTATGTTGTACCATTCACGTCTTAAGAATATGTAGCCCTAATGTTCACTATTCCTAATTGCGGAAAGATACAAATAAACGCTAAGAGCGTGGGTACAAACTCATTGTAGCAATTTTATTACTCGTGTATAGTAAGTTATTCAGGATTGCACTGGTTGCTCTTTACTTCACCCTATGAGTCTTAAAATTAGCACCTCTCTCACAGACAACTGGCTGCAAAACTAAAACCGGTCGCGCTTCATCACTCGCATTTCCCAGCGTTTCTGGATGTTTCCTTGTTATTACTTTTGATTTCACAGTGGCTTTTGTTATGAATGGTTCTGGACTTGAAACATTGTCAAAAAGAGCTCGGAAGGGGAAATCAAACTCATGCAACCTGTACCTCGTTGCCTCTCAAATGGTATCCATAGTCGTGCAGCAGTTGAGAAACTTTCTGGACGTTAACAGCATCATTGAAGGGTGTGGCATCGCCTATTTCTCCCTTGTTAGCTGACACCTGTCAATCGTGATTAGACATCGATGTTATTCAAGAGATGAATGCAAAACTATACATATCTCAAAGATAACCAAGCCATTCTAGGAGAAAACAAGTATCTAGACTAAAAAGATGCATGTTCAAACTGAGGGTAAATGAGAGATAAAATAATTGTGCACTGTTACCTTTCCTTGCAAACATTCGATCAAGTGTCCGATTGTCATTCTGCTGGGAATAGCATGAGGGTTGATTATCACATCAGGAGTGATCCCTTCACAGGTGAATGGCATGTCCTAACGAAAAAAAAAAACAAACAAAGATTACAAGAATCAATAACAGAGTCAAAGTTCTTAAGATACTATTTAGAAACAAACTGAAGAAAAACGCTGATAAGAACCTTGTGAGATAACCTCACAAGTTTCTTAACCCTTCAAGCCCTAACATCAGTATGCATATTCTCCACACTGTTCTCTATACGGTTAGTAATGCGCTAACAAGGAGAATTTTTTTAACAATCGAGAGCTTCTTCAGTTGGTGATCATTTCCTTTATTCTCATGACCTTAATGTTAGATTCAGGGGTGGTATTGTAAAGAGAAATTAGATGCTAATCACTCTTAGGGGTCAAAGGATTAGTAGAAGTCCTTTCCATGCCCCACTCATTTGAAAAAGCTCTTATTACACAAAGGGGTCAAAGGATTGGTAGAAGTCCTTTCCGTGCCTCACTCATTTGAAAAAGCTCTTATTACACATAGGGTACACAATCATCGCAAACACGACACAACCTCCACAAACGCGTTGGTTTAAGCCTTACCTCTTGACGATACGTTATTCCACAAGTTCCCTTCTGGCCATGCCGACTGGCAAACTTGTCGCCGATTTGAGGAACACGAACGGAACGAACCTGATATATGAACAATATCTCCGTTAGTTTGAGGAGCTCTCCTGGTGAGTTACTTTGATTACATACTCTTGTATTGCATCAAATTATTCTCGTCGCAAAGCGTGAGCGCACACACTGTATTGTTGAAAGGGATTTGATTTTTTTTTTTGAAGAACAGACTGCTGATTTTACCGTTTCTTAATAACCCAAAACATTCAAGTTTGTTTGTTCAGTTGTACATTCATTCATTTCCAATCTTACCTTAATCTTAGTGAACTTGTAACCTTCCTGGTTGATGGTGACCATTACCTTGTGAGAATGAAAAGCCAGAAACACATCATTAGCTACACATAAACTAAGAAATAGTTCATGACGAACACAAGCACAAGCGAGTATTCCTGATCCACAAGCCAAGAGGATTAAAAAAAACTAACCTGATCCACAATCCCTGTCTCACTTGGACGCAAGAATGTGCTAGAGTCTTTCTTGGTGAACCTCCGAGTTGTTCCTTCCAGCTGTAGAAAAAAATCAAATCTAAGCTCTCGTGGAAAGAAGCCAGTGACACTGTCTATTGTAAAATTTCAATAACCACTAGCACCAAGAGCAAGCCACAGGCCAAATTTGTTTTAAATATCTAACATCCAGGAAAACCTATGTACCTCATCATCATTTTCCGGCAGAGTGATAGTCTTTCCTACAATGACATCATCACCACTAACTCTCGTACCAGGTGCTACGAGGCCATCATCGTCAAGTTTATCATACACTGCATGCCTCATACCTACAAAGGAAAAGCTTATGAATTAATACATTTAGACATGGAGAGTACCTTGGGCTTATTCGTCACAGTCTGTTCGCCTGTCTGTCTGTATTAAGGGAGTAATTTTCTGAAGAAACTGTGGTGGTGCGTCAGTGGGGGGGCATTAAAACATAATGTGGTTTTATCATCTGAGTTGATACTGTAAACTAGCCACTGTAACGAGTTTTCTAAAGCTGAAGTCTAGAGCATTATCGCATTATCTCTTCGTCAGAGTGAAGAAGTAAAAAAGGGCTCTGAAAAAGGGTTCTCGTGAAACGTCAGGTTTAGAAACCCTCTACGATATGCAATTTACATTATCAACTCGGTTGATAAAGCTAAGATTTATTTCTGTCTGTCCGTAGCACGCAAACAGTAAAGCTTGTCATAATTATTCCAGATCTCTTCTAACACATCTTTGAAGTGTATATCTTAAATGTTACTACTTTATTCGTGGTAAAATAGCTGTTACTGTTGTCAGTAAAGCAAGAGGGGTTAGGAGTTAGAGGCATTTGTAAACCATTCTTAAATAATTGGTAGAACTGAAAATCTAAAAAACCCCAACTTTAAAGCAAAGAAAAGGGTTAGCAACATCTCTTTTAGCCTAGCAATGACAACCATTTGCATTACTTTACAACAACAAAATAGAATTGCGAGGGCAAATGGAAAACAGGAGGCTCAAAAAAACAGCTGGCACTGAGACAATAGGCTGAGATGAAGAATTGAGGCCACACCCACACCATGCTTGAATGGCTAACCCAGCTTAGGGCAAGGTAGAGAAGGGACATTTTTGATGGTCTATGCTTTATGAGGAGCTGAGGGTGTAACTAACTAACTAACTACGATAAAAGCATCTCAGTGATTAGCACTTGCACTTCTGAAGCTATGGCCAACAAATGACCCATGAGATGTAATAACAATTATAACAAGGTAATTAATAACAATTATAACAAGGTAATTAATAACAATTATAACAAGGTAATT